ATTATTATTGTTGTTTCCATTAATATTAATTGTTATTTGTCTAATTGCCTAAATGAATTTACGTGCCTTATGTGTATTTATAATAAATCTTAAAAATGTGGATATTTTGTATAATTAATAAATATTAATTTTAATTTATTTCATCGAACCGAGCTTCCGGTCGAACCCCGCGAGCCGCGCCCGTGGGCCGCGCCCAGCCAGACCACACGCCCTTTCCTCTACTTCTCCTTGTATTGTTTTGGTAAGTAACTTGATTGTGGGCCTTTCCTTTTCCTTTTGATGTTGACTTTGGCAAGTGCATCAATTTGGGATCCTACCCATATCATGAGAGCTCTATTTATGGGAGAGATTAATCCCTCCCTTCGTCATAATCTTTTTCCACAAGTAGCCGCCCCCTCTCATCTCTCTCGCCCTCTCTCCTTCTTTTATATTTTTTCTCTTCTTTCCGATCGTGATCACCGCCACCCTCCGTCGCTGTGCACCATCGTCCATCACTCGTCATCACTGCGTGCACCATCGCCGTCCCGGGCCAGCACCATCGCCATGACCCGTTCGTGAGTCGCGGATCGTGCACCCCTTGGCGTCCAGCGTCCCTCGCGAGGCCAGCAAGCACGCCCAGCGTCCCCGCGAAGCCCGCCAGCGCCCAGTAGACGTCCGCAGGCCTTCCCCCGCGTGCCCGCGACCATCCTCAGCCCCATTCAAAACTCCTTCCGTGCAATTTCCCCGATAACGGTACAAGGCTAATAATCCTTTATTACTTTCAGTATATATGTGCTATGTGATGAGCCTTGTTGAGAAATTTCATGTTAGGGTTTGATAAGTGGCTATTTAATCTTGTGATTTATTCGTTAATTGTGTTCGAGTGTGAATTTCGTTTAAATCGTGATTAGGGTTGTGGATTATTGGAACATTTGAAGTCCTTGGCCTCATGGTTCAGGCCTTGGACGTTGTAGATGAATATGTGATCATTGATGTGTTGTTGAATCGGATATTGTTGATGTTTCTTATAAAAATCATATTAAATTATGTGCTCGTCCGATTGCTCTGAAATTTGAACTGTAGAGTCCTCTGTTGGTATATTATGTGCTGTAAAAATTTCATGCCAAAATGAGATCTGTAGCTATGTCAAACGTGGATTTGAAATTCTAGGCAGAAACTTTGAAAAATCATTAAAAATCATATTCTTGGAATTTTGCTGTGATTTTTGGTGAGTGTTAGTAATTTGATGATATGTGTGTTGTGTCCAAATTTTGCTGAAAAATTCTGTAATACCCCGTTCGATTGTGAATTATTTTGATTTAATTATTAATTATTGCTAATATTAATTGCCTTTATTATTATTATTATTATTATTATTATTATTATTATTATTATTATTTGTGCTAAATGCCTAAATGTTATTAAATGTCTAAATGTACATTATTATTATCTAATAAATATTATTTGTGTGTATTATATATAAATATTTTATAGTAATAATTATTGTGTATTATATATATATATATAAATATAAAAATATTTATATTTCGGTTTTATTATAATTACCGTTTGATCAAACCGAGTAAATCCGGCCCGTAAGCCATGAACCGTATCCGACCGGTCATAAACTATAACCAATCTTTTCAAATTTTTAAATGGCCATTTAAATTATGAGAGTTAAGCCTAATTATATTGCAATTATGCTAATATAATGGCTATCCTTTATGTCTAAGCCGTTGCAAATTAAAATTCTTTTCTCTCTTCCCTTATATCTGCTGGTCGTTCCACTATAGAGGAAGAAAGTTCATTTTTTTTTTTTCTGCAAAAAACCGATCACATCAGGAGAAGAAGATTTATCTCCTCAAATCTCTATATCTCTTTCCTCTCCCATTTCAAAGTCGATCATCACCAAATCGGTCACAAGCCCTTTAATTTCAGCCCCGTTGTACGCTGGAACCCTCGGGCTAGCACCGACGAGACCATCAG